TACGCCCATCTTAAACGACTTAATACCAAATTAAATATGTACCATGAACAGATGACGGCCAAAGTACAAGAATTTATTGACAAGAAAGTCAAGATTGTATGGAATGAAAGCATATAAACAGATAGTGCTGAAGTTATGTTAAACTGTTTTCCTCCATACATTCTTCTCTGTCTCAAACTGATCAAGATGAAGTTGATAACCAATAGATGCCCCCAGTTTTATCAGAATCACAGTCAAAGTTTCTGTTGAATGATCATAATCATTATTTATTAGTTAGTTGGACAAACAATGAAATTAGGCGCATTTTTACCATTGCCATTCGACAGTAAGTAATAATGAAAATTTTACTACTTTACTTAAGAACATATTATCTTGTTAAGATCCAGCTCATGAACAGCGATCGGGAAGACTACTGTATAATTAAAGTTTTGCCGATGAACAGTAAGTTTGATACAATAACACATATAAATTGTTTTAATGATTCTCCTCTGTATTTGTGTAGACATCGTTTTGCTCTTATGACAATGATTAATCGGTCGTTGAATGAACAAGTACGGAAACAAATATCTGAACTATTCATTTTAAAACTCACGCTGTTTTGTTTTTAGCATTTGCCGAATGTATTTCTGAATTTCGTATTCACCGTTGCAGTTATTCCTATATTCATATTCGTGCACCATTTTGGTAATAAATTTTTAGTAGATTAAATATGTTATTAAATTAAATATTTTACATTTTAGATGTGTTGAAATTCGAAAATGTCATTATGTAACAATTTGTATTTGGTTCAATTGAAACAACATTGAAAATAACAGACTGTGCAAATGAATCGATATCAGCTGTTTGTCGACGACTTGTTATTAGGTAGTTAAAATAAAACAGAATTTTGTTCTTAAATTAATATATAAACTCAATTCATTCTAGTCAATGTCGCTTATCATCATTTTATATTCTTACGCTAACTCGTACACTTGTAGAATTAAATTGTTCAAATTTATTATTACTCCTTATAATACATCCTATATTAAACTACCAGAACACATGAAAAAAGCAGGATTATGTAAAGATTTAAATTTATGAAGTAAACCACCCATTACACATCCAGCAGGTATGTTTAATACACACTCGTGTACCATTACCTTGAGATAGTCACGAGTTTTAATCGTAAAAGAAAAATAAATTTCAACTCTATCGTATTGTTTAGGTTATCGTTCTGATTCACAAGATGGTAAAAAATAGTTGACCGTAGACGATCGTTGGTTATTGATAAATCCTGATGATTTTTATCCAATAAGTATCATACGTTCAGAAGATCAGCAAAAGGTAATGTAAAATTTAATATCCATTATTTTTAATTGATATTGATTATTTTCTTTTTATTTTCCGTTCACCTATTGAATAACAAAATCTCGGTAAACATCAAAAATCGATATCATTATTAGCAAATGAAATAATGGATGCCCAATTAAATCAAGAACAATGGCAGCGTTTTCAACGTTTTGTTGTTACACATTTTAAATCTTGGTTAGAAGCAAATAAAAAAATACTCGATCATTTAACTAGTCTGGTACTCAATTGAATAGCAAATTTTGTTTTATCATTCTTTAATTTTACATATATAACCCTCATTTTTATTTAAGAATTTTGTATCTATTTTTTGTATTTGAACTTGATTTTATTAAAACAGAATAATGAATAACAATCTTTTTTTTCTTCCTTGTTATAATAGGCATATTTTATGACTTTATACGCTTTGCATTAATTCCAAAGCGTACACATACGCTCTGCGGTCAGTTACAAAGCGTATGTGTACATTTTCTGGCAGATTCTCATTAGAAACGCTGCGCTCGTCTGCACTCGCTCAGTCGCTTGATTTTAGAAACTGATATCTGCGAACGATCTTCTATAGCTTTGGTTTAAATTTTTAGGAGGTATTCCATGAATAAGGCAGGTTCATTAGTGCGGATCAGTACATACTTAGATTCGTATATCTCATATTAAAAAAATCGAATAACTTTTGATGGGAACATTGTGAAAAGCTGAGTCTTATGTTCCGGTGCACAGCTAATTCAACGTGAAGGATCTGATAGAGCTGGTTTTGGGTTTTTATGGTTCTTCAGAAAGTGTCTAACAAACTCTGTGGATTTCTGTCGAATTTTGTGTGAAACAATGGGATATGAATGATGTTGGACGTCGCCTAAAGTTCTTAACAGGATCTGTAGAAAACTCTGATTTCTCTACATTTGTACGTTGATTTCCGCCTAAAGCGTTAGGGGCGCATTATATTCAATGTGGCTTTTTTTCATACTAGACACGTGAGCATTGCGATCTACTGCGACAAATCCATCATGTTCTCGAAAAAAATGTTGTCGAGTAAAACATGATACATGTGTCCGATGTATCTAAAGACCGGACTTTTCTAAAAAACTACCTAAGAAATTAAACTCGACCAGACCTTCTTCAGACAATACTCAGCAGCAAAGTCTTGCTAAAGTAGTCAAAATCGCAGCCTTTTATAGTTTTTCTATCAAGTATTATATTTGGAAAAATAAACCTGGCTACTTTAGTTTTCAATGAATATTAGTACAAAGTGCGCAAACAAACCATCACCAGAGAACTCGAGAAACAGCATTTACGCCGCATGTCTTTCGACTTTCAGACACGGACATAATGTGTTCTGGAACTTATTTATTCAGAAGTAAGCTAACTATAAATGTGTATAATAGCAGTTGTTTGATACGATTCTAAGCCACACTTACTTAATGATCGATTTTGTCATCTTTTTTCTATAACATAATTCCTTCGAAATGACAAAATACTCTCAACGTATAAATTTTGCTCCATTGTAAATTTTTAGCTCAGACAAATTAGTCGAAATTATTTTTTTTACTTGCGAATCACCGAAAAAAATGAGTTGAAACAACAGAAAATGATGAAGAAGATTGTTCAAAAGGTCAGAACCTTGTGGACATTATGGAGTTTCATGTGCTCTATCGAACGAAACATTTTATCGCTAAGTTAAAAAATGAATTTTATTTTTTGTCAAAATTTCATTAAATGAGTATGTTTTCTGTTACTGAATATACTCTGATATTAAAAAAGCTCATGCAGAATCAACGAATTAATTGATCAATGAAAAGTATATGTAGAAGTATATGTAGACATATGTAGATTCAATAAGTATTTGACAGAATTTTAGTTTCAATCCTTCAGCTGAATCATAGAATATGTTTAACGTATCATCCGTACCATCAGAACCAAATTTGCTAACTTGTAACATTATAACCTGTGTATGGCGCTGATTTTGTGTACGGAGAAGACCGTGGTAAGAGAAAGTGATGAAGTGTTGTTGGCGTATCGTGGTAAAGAATTGATCAGGGTTAATTGTCGCACATCTAATTGATAGTTTTGTCATGGTTCACTCGCAATTCATCGTAGCCAAATGGTGCTTCTAATGAATCCGCACTAAAAGCTACGGGGAGATAACGAAACGATGTATTACTTGTTAAATCCGTATCAGACAAATAAAGAATAGTATTAACGGTGGTATTCAATTCATCATTATTTACGAGAGCATTTTTATTTTGATCATCAGATTGTCTGAGATTGAAAAATGTCTTCGAATTATAATTATCGCTCGGACACGGTATGACCAGTGCACTTGTAAACACTTCCTTGTCAATAAATTCTTGTACTTTGGCTGTCATCTGTTCACGGTACATATTTAATTTGGTATCAAGTCGTTTAAGATGGGCGTG